GTGGGGGGGGGGGGGGGGGGGGGTGGGGGGGGGGGGGGGGGGGGGGGGGGGGGGGGGGGGGGGGGGGGGGGGGGGGGGTGTGGGTGTGGGTGTGGGTGTGGGTGCGACTGAGAGTGCATGGTGTCGCTGTTGGTCCCGATGCAAAAATGAACTGCATCCAGAGTTATACATTCGCACTTGCACTTGCAAGCAGAATCACATCCGAAACAACAGGCACATCCCACACATATGAAAACCAGCATCCACAATCTTTATACCTTGATTAAGCACAAATTTTTATATTTTAAAAATAACGCCTATTTCGTTGGTTACTGTAAAGCAAGAGTTGAGAGTAGCAGTTTGATTTGCATACAAGAGGTAGAGAACGGTATTTTTTCTCTATTATTTACACATACTTACCCACACTGACACCCACATTCTATCCTGGATAGAAATCAATATGCAACTCTGAGCTCTTTCTTTTCAGCAATCGATGCAGTGGTAATTATTTTTCAAAAATTTTAACATTTGTGCTGAATTAAAATATGAGCAGAAATGCAGAGTTTATTTTCGCCGATGCGTTTCGTGTCGATTTATTTGAATTATAAAAGACTCATCAGTACTCAGCATTAGAAAAAAACAAATATATAAAAAAACATTCTAAATCATGACATATCGATAGGTGAAAAACAGAGCTGTTCTAAATTAAGAGTCTAATTATACGTGTGAGCTGCATTTAACAGAAACTTGATAAGGATGTGGGTTGTGGGTGCGAGTGTGTTGGGTGGGGTGAGGGTGTTGATGTGCTTATGTATATGCGTGTGATGATGGGGAAAGATAAGGTCAGCAACCACACCCACACCTACACCCACCCCCGAAGAAAAACCTGCCAAATGAAGTCAGCCAAAAATCGGAAAATTTAAAATTTAGTTTGTTGATATAGAATTTTGATAAACCGTAATACTAAAAACATTCTCGTAATCTGATTTCTAGCAATTGATGCTGCTCATTATGCATTATTGCGTGTTTCGATGTTTGAACTTAAAACAAAAGAAAAATGGAGAATGCTGTGGAAAATTCTGTTTAGAGCTTGACATTTTTCAATTATGAACTATGAAAATTTTAGCTTTCCATGTACCCTATTAGCTGAGATGTTAGTCTAATAAAGGGCCCTAAACGTGTAATACGAGTTTTTTTCGTTCTGTCAATTTCTTCCTTAGACTAAAGTTTTTCAAAGGCAATTTAATTGAAATACAATGTTATTTTGTAATTTTGGCATAGACACTTGTTTATCGTTCGAAAGATTGAGTTGTGTGTTGCATTGAATAAGAAGTCAAAAAGGAACCGCTTCTTTCTATTTAATTGTTATTGCTTTTTGCTTTATGCAAGAAATAAAGCCAATTCGAAATGACTGGCAACGAATTATCTGTGCACGGGATTTCTGATTTATTTTCAAAGAATATCATCATGGTATGCTAACATTCAAGCTCGTTTGACATCGTTGAGTTTAATGACAATGTTTACATTGAGAAATAAAATAGTTGCGTATTTCAATTGAAAGAAAGTTTCATTGATTCTACCCTACTATTGAAAACTATTTGTGAATATCTATGATCGACCTAAGTTTTAAATCGAAAAAAACCATAGACTAATTTGACTCCTTACTATTCAGCTATACTATCATATGATTTCAATTATCACTTACAGATCTCCTACAGCAAATCACACAGGAGTAAAAGACTAGTGATTTGAGGTGATACGAGAGTTACGATTTTTCTTTGTGTGTTGCATACAAAAGTAAAAAAATCTGAGTATTGGCAATGAGATTTCAAGAAGGGCGGAGGCAGAATGACTAACACTTTCAATTTGCTCTCTTTCATGCATAAATTTTTTTATCCGAAACTCATGACCTTGTATTCAATGTAAAAAAAATAAAAATGTCTTTGCTGAATTTTTTTCGTTTGAAAATTCATTTGAGAAACTTTGAGTGTCTCATATTGACATACTCGAAGCCTTGCATGATATACATATCCTCACTGTGAAGAAACCTACAACATGTATGCTTTTCTACTGATTTTTTTTCTTCTGTCTGCAATATATATATATAATACAACGATGCATCAGTGAAGTGAAATACAAAAGGTCATTTTCTTGTCGAACACAATCGCACACTACAATAAACAATATTCAATGTCATCCTCCGGTATTAGTACCATTTTTAGGTAAAGTTTCACATCAAGTGCGTAATTCACCATAGCAATTTCTGTCTCTATTCTTACGAATTACTCAATCTACTATTGTCCTTCGGTGACAAAAGATATGCGATCTCATTTTGTTATCCATGTAACCACCCGATCACCAAAACATAAAATCTATCGGACAAACAATCAGTCTGAAAATCCTCAAGACATTTTTTTCCCGGTTATATTCTTAAAATCTTTGATTATTCATATTTTCTCTTTATGTAAATAGATGTCAACTACTTTGGCTACACATTATCATCAACGTAGACCCCAGGCTACTGTGATGGGAGAGAATGGGACGGGAAGAGGACAGAGGAAATATATGGGAGATGAACCAACTCTCCATCAGAATGTCCTTGAAGCAGCCCATGATAAATCTGCCAAACAAATTGTCAATCAAAATATTGGTAAAGCAGTAAACAATCAAACACCTACCGTCAATGCCGCCAAAATTGATCAACGTTCTCCGTCATCAATACAGGTGAGATACTAAAATGAGGAGCATGCTCATTATCAGATTCTATACGCCTAAGTATTTATTATTGAAGATCTGGAAATTGTTTAGTTTTCGTTGTATGAGAAAGTTCTTATTTGAATTATATAGATATTCATCAAATTTTAGAAACGGTCAAATGTTCTAGTTTCATGCAAAATTCGATAGAGAGTGTTCAACAATTTGTTATCCCAATAGGTATACTTGCGTGCAACTACTGTGTTTCACCACATACTTTGTTAGGTAAACTCTTAATGATGTACTCTCCAGACTGAGAGAATGACCGTTGTAATAAAAATCTAATGTTTTTCTATAAGTAAACAATTTTTATGTATGCTTGTCACACTTTCTTTCCCTTGATTAGTGGGCAACATACTTTGAAGTGGTGCAACAACTAATCTCGAGGAATAGAATTTATATCTAAAAAAAATTAGTACAAAAATGATATAATAACAATAGAACTAGAGAACTTTAGCATCCTGTGGCGCAAAAACTGCATTTTGATGTGTTTTCAAGGAAAAATCTTTGCCTTTCAGCATTATTTCCATAAAACAAACTGGGAATACATTTGATTACAATAGCGTCGATGTCGAGAAAAAGTATTTCAAAAGGGAAGCGCTAAATAAGAATTGAAAAAGCAAGAAAATACTATCATGTTGCACCGTATGTCAACAATGTTTTCCTTAGTTGGTTTCCATCTTGTAATTCAACTTTTCCTAATTCTGTCAAAAATACCTGTCTTAGAAAGTAAGTAAGAGACTGATCAAAAGTCAGATCATATAATGAAGCAGTTTCAAGGGTCAAAAAGAGTGAGCTCCAAACTGCGTAAACTCAAAATTTTGAACACACTTCACGCCAGTCCATACTTGACCTTAGTTTGCAGTCCATGTTTTCTCTCAAGAGCTGTCTTATAGAGGTACCCATAGGTCCTGAAGGGCTAATATAGCGGGTACCGTTGA